ATCCACTAATTAAATTTATGAGTATTCATTTACCTATAAGCTAATTTTGATCCCATGTACATAATATATGGATACAAGCACACATATTGACACAACAATATAATACACAGATGTCCACACATACATAAAACAGGAAACAAATCTTGTTGTTCTTTAGCAGGTTTTAGATCTCCACAGATAGGAGAAAATGCTACAAATGTTCATTCAAGTTTCTATTAAAGTCTTTAGAAATTAAAATAGAGCAAATCAGACTTCACATGACTTACACATAGGGTAGGCCTATACAGTAGGAAATGTTAGTCATAAACTCTGACAGCCATGGCAGACACTGAAATCAAGGTTCAGGTGGCCATTTATCCTCAATGACCATCAGATTTATTCCCAACATCACCATGGTTTATGCTCTCCTTAGAACTCTGTAAAAAGAGTTTTTTTTAATGTATTTGAGAGCTAATCCTTGAAAAATTGCCCTCTTAATAAAATATAGCAGGAAGAAAAATCAGGATTATATATTTAGGTGCACAAAACTGGAGGTGAGTTCACCAGTAAAAATTGAACTCAAAAAAGATTTTTCCCCCAAAAAAAATGAAAAATTACTCTAATAAAAAGGAGTATACAGAACACATTTATCAGATAAGCATGCACTTTTGGATCAGATTAGAGTTAGCCCAGATATCAAAAGAATGTGGGAGCTTGTGAAATCCTCATACACAGGATTTTTGTGGGTTTTTTCCCCCTGTGCCCATCTTGAGAGAAAAAAAATCCCCTGAGACTTAGGGTGTCCCCTGACATTCCTGGCTTACTGTGTTAAGTCCTTGCTGCAATGTTGTCATCAAAGTAGCCTCTTAAATGTTCTCAAAAGGTTTAGGACTAGAGCAGTTGGCTTTTCTGGACTTAGTGAGGGAATAAAACCCAAAGTTATGAGAAAGTGCCACAGTGGTTTGGATTTAAAGTTGGCACTTTTTTCTCTTTAGTCTGAACTGTTTTGGGCAATTGCTCATGTAACTTTAGCTGTAAGGTGGTGTTAGAGTTTATGCTCCCTTCAAGAGTTAATCTCTCCCTGTCCTCCAACTAGTGTTTGGGCCAAGCTTGAGTATAGTAAACATTAGGCATCTTTCCCCAGGGTTTGAGTGTCAAAGGAATCCCATTGTCCACATTCTGTGCCAGATGCTGTGTTACCCATCTGAAAAACAATGTAATAGACTCAAGATTTATGACCCTACACTTAATCTAGTAGGTAGAATGTCTTAGAGCGATTATAGAGCTTTTCCTAGGGAAACAGGCAGAGTTTAAATTTTAGGGACCTATTATTCTTCCTAGTAGGACAAGACTATCTTTCCCTTTAGTCTGATAAAGTGTAAACTGGCACAACCAAGTATGGGTCAGACAGGATCTGAGATTGAGCTCCATTTTTCCTGAGGAAATTGCTACAAGGAAGATAAAAAGAAGCAAAGAGAAAGAGGCAACTCACTCACACACTGATAGATGGACAGGTAAGGCTGCTCTACCTTGGAGTCGTCAGATGGCACTGAGAAGTTACCTCAGCCTGGGATCCAGGGAGCTACCAAGTGAGGTCCTCCCTCCACCATCAGGTGAAAGGCCATGAAAGAGATTAAAGCCGAGATGGAGCGCGTTGCCAATCCATTGGCTTTCGACCATCTGCATTCACACCAGAGAGTAGCACTGGCCAGAGACTTACTGTGCTTCAAAAAGAGACTTCAGTTTCTCAGTGAATGGATTCCCATGATGGCCATGACTGAGGCAAGATCAGACCGACATTCTCTCCACCAAAGGCAGAGAGAGATTGATAAGTCTCACTCCAGCAAAGCCTTTCCCCTGAGTCTTAAGTCTGGCAGCCCCACTATTCTCTTTTAACTGGCTGACAGGGTCCCAGTAATTTTTGATAGAGACAATGTACAAAATGGAGTACAGGACTCCTGGAAGAAAAGTAAAGTGACAGAGCATTAGTTCATTTCACTCTCCCTTCTGACGGTCCCCATGGAGGCCAAGACGAATCCAGAGTTTTGAGATGAGACTAGATTCCCCACTTCACCAATTTCTTCAGAGTTCTTCTCTTACAAATTTTGAAGAATAAAATCCAGGGACAATCATGGAAGGGAAGAGTAAACAGAGTAGAATTTATTTGAAAAAAGATAGAATTCTCACCATGCAGAAGGGGACCTAATAGCAGAAAAACCCATTTTGGTGTGCCAGCTTAGGAGTTTATATATGATTCTAGGCAGAGCATGGAGCAAAATCTATGTGAAATCGGTATTTAAAAAGCACCCTGACTACCCCAGGCTCAATTTCATCCTCCTTTTTATAATTTTCACCTGGGTTCACCCTCAACTTCCATTTTCCACCTCTGGGACATAGGAGGTGACTGGAGGTGTTCCCACAGGTTAGCCTCGCGGTCTTGTACATTTGAAAAAGGACTTGTTGGTGCTCATTAATATGTCTACGGGTTAGCCTCTAGGTGTGGTTGAATGGGGCCCTTATCCTGACTGCCTGATCATTTTACTGTCTATTATTTTATCCTCAATTCACTTCATTGCTGTGGGCCCAAAGCAAGGCAGAATATCGAGATAGAAGAGAGTGGTGGGGGAAAATGACTCTGCACAATACACCAGGAAGCAAGAGGAGAGGAGGCTTCTCACCACAAAGAAAATATATACCCAAAAGGCAGGTCCCCAGAGACCCACGTCCTCCAGCTGCACCCTACATCTGCCTAAGGTTATCATCTAGTTAATCCCTATCAGAAAAAAAAACAATGCACTGATTGGATTAAGAACCTCATAACCCAATTGTTTCACCTCTAAGCTTTCTTGTACTGTTCATACATGATCTTTTGGGACAAACCTCTAATCTAAACCATAAGAAAGAGAAAAGCAAAGCCCTGTCATCTTCTCCAAACACACAGATGCCCACAAG